CTCCGCTCTTCTCTCGGATCCTGATTAGCTTTGGTCCACTCTTCTCTCGGATCCTGACTGGCTTCGCTCCGCTCTTCTCTCGGATCCTGACTGGCTTCACTCCTCTCTTCTCTCGGATCATCATTAGCTTTGGTCCGCTCTTCTCTCGGATCATGATTAGCTTCCCTCCGCTCTTCTCTCGGATCCTGACTGGCTTTGCTCCGCTCTCCTCTCAGATCCCCAGCAGGACGCTCTCCACTTTTCTGTCAGATCGTCGCTGGCCTTTCTCCACTTTTCTGTCGGATCCTCGGCTGGCTCCTACTCAGCCTCTCTGAATCTGCTCTCCACCCCAGCTGGTGACAGATACTTACTCCGCTCTGGCACAGGCTGCTTTATAAACTCCAAGTGCATTATCCTGGTGTCCGGAGTGAGCCGTCACAGGCCTGAACCAGAGATGCGGCCTGTAGGAGGGGGACTGAGCCGCATTAGCGCGCCGCGAATGCCGTGTTTCACGGACTGTTTCCACTCGCGCTGATGTACCCTGATTACATTAGCATTCAAAAGCGGTGCCTCCCAGCCCACGTACCAAGAGGGGGCGTCTCACTGGCACTGAGGTCACAGTCTGCCAGTGGCCCCCCAGGCTCAATGCTGCCCAGAGGGCTGTCGTCTGACCCCCGTCTTCCCCCGCAGGGCTGAGAAGCCGCCCAGAAGGTATAATACAGAAAAGGAGGGTGGGGGTAGGAATTAATCCTGATCACCATGTGGGGTGGAAAACTGGAAGCTGTTCCCAGACACCCAGGAGCGTATCTGCAAACACCTGAAGGTGTGTTACTTACAAATTTCACAGCATGGGAGTGCGATCATGCTTACTCTCGCTGCAGAAACGGTCTTCAGGTAACATGTTAATCACCAGGGAAATGATGTCACCAGTGAGGAGTTTCGTGCATCTTAGAAGGTTTGTCTGTGAGATGATCCGGCCGGTTCTGACAGGTTTCGTGCTCTTATGTGTGTTCCGGTCCCTCTGGGGTGATTACTTGCTCGTCATTTCT